GAGATTTCTTTTCGTTGTTGAGATATGCTAAATGGAAATATTTAGGGGCCACCCCGACAAGTCCTTAATGGGGCCAATCTACAAAAATTCAAAGTATGCATATTGTTTACAATATTATTCTGACCATCTTTTGTTCAATATTGCTTATCAAAATATTCCCCCTTTTTAAGATATAAAGCGTTAGAGGTTTGACATTCTGGCCCCTTGTGACCCCTAATTACGTAACATATGATCAAAATTTTATGATATATTGTTGCAAATTGTTAAGATAAATACTTTTGCTTCAGTAATGTATAACAAAATACTGATTATAAGAGAGTTATAGATAAAAGACTTTTGGCCCCTCTGAGCCCCTAATTCGAGGGGTCAGTCCCATTTTCTTGATATCAAATGAAAGGTCTTGTGATTTTGCACATTTTTTCTTCAATATATCTTAAGAAATTATGAACAGGTATGAAGATATGAAACAAAATGTGCCAAATTGTGTGAGATATTTTTGAGCCATTTTTTAAAACCCAGGTGAGCTTTGGTGCCTTTTGCACTGGATAGATATAGTCTCAAAATGGCACTTCTACAATTCATCCTCTATCTACACTGAAAATCTCAACTCATTATCTCGAGTCATTTAGGAGGAGTTACCAGGACAAGCAGACCCTCTGAAAATTAGAAAAACGTCCATATCTCACGACCGGAAGTGGCAATCTCATTATAAAAAATTTCCAATAAGGTTCATATCAATATCTATTAGATCTGAAAATTTCCTGAAAATCCATCAAGCCGTTTCCGAGAACTCGCGTGCACAAAATCTGTAAGAATAATAATAAAAATAAGAAGAGGGAAAAAGAAACAGAACGAAAACAATAAGGTCTTCCGTTGGAAACGGAAGACCTTAACTAGTGTTAATTGTAACGGGGACCGTTACATATGTTCCCCAAACGCTCCTCATGTCTCTTTTCGTGCCTCATTCCTCTAAGACCTTTTATAAATATGCGAAGTATTCAAGGATTTCATTTTAGAATATAAAAGTTACAATGTATATACATATCGTTTAACGTTTTGCATGCGCGCACACGTACATGTACATGCATATGCAAGATAATTATAGCATGTTGGTTAAACGATTAACATATCTTTCTTTCCCGCGAATCAAAGAAAAAAATACATATATAAAAATACCAATTTTCAAGCATATGTCAAAAAATATCGATTCACATTTTATTTCACTACTTATTTTAACCTCGGGCTCAAAGTTGGTTTTATTCAAACGACAAGGCAGCGTAAAGTCGACTATGGGTATCACGCCGATAGCTAATCAATCAAAATGAACTTATTCAGTAGTAGTTCCATACATGGAAAAGGGATTTTCCTTTCTGTTGAGAATTTTTTTTATATTTCCTCTCAGGCCATTTTGACAACTCAGGTACCTGTGCCTAGTAAATTTTATATACTTTGTAAATAAATATATAAAGGTTATTGACCGGAACTATTCATTTCTTCCAATGCATAGGGGGCTATTTTCTGGGGTATACAAGAGATGTTTAAAAAGACATTCGTGTCAGCTAATGAGACCAATATTGTTTAACACCTTCTTATTAATATTTTTTTTATGAAGGCAAATACCTTATTATTTTACGAAGTAGCGTACATGTATATTGATTTTTAAAATACCGAAAATCGCTTTTTCTGGGGATTGCGTAATTCTAAAAAAAAATCAAATAAATTTCAAAGGTAAAATAAACAAAGGATGCTTGGTATTAAAATATTATTTCAAATCAGTACAATTGAATGCTATTAACGACACCTGAATATATAGGCTATAAAAGGCTTATATACCAACTTTGTTCATCTGCACTTTAATTTTAAACATGACAGGATTTGTAATTTTTTCCGTATAAATTAATAATTTCTATATACTTTGAAAACTCAAATTGAATATTTTAATACACTTTCCTCGAACTCTTTTCTGCAGTTTTCCTGAAATTTTATGTGGGTCCGAGGTGTTATTTGAGTTTAACAGCGATTCTCTATGTTGCCACTAATTTGATTTGTTTGGTTCTTGCAGGGGGAGGGGGGGGGTATTTTTATTCTTAACCTATTTAACGTTGGGGTTGAATCTTGTATCTTACTCCAAGAACTTAAGATTGATTGTGACATTTGGTTGAAAGGTCAAGGTCATTAAAAACCACCACCTCTTTAACTTCTATCCTGCCAACCAAAATAAACTCTGAAAGGTATTTCTAGATACATGTACATGTATTTCAAGTTTCTTTTTACCCTTGGGTCAAGGACGAAGGTTAAGGTCGATTTCAAGTTCATAGGTCAAGGCGATTTTGGTAAATAGCTATATCAACATTTTATTCAGGTTACCAGTGACCTTGACTTTAAGTTTAAAGGTCAAGGGTCAAAAGAATTTGCATGCTTCATTTAGATGTTCTTAATTCTGCATGAACATCAAAAACTCAAGTATACTGCCGTTTAATGCATTGTGTGTGGGCGCATGTGCATGCACGTCCTTGCATTTACTTTTGATAGTTGCATAATGTAGGAATCCATTATACCTATTCATATTCTGAATTTCATCCCGTTTCGTTGAGAACTTAGAAAGTTATAGACATTTAAAGTTTCAGCCAATCAGATTGCAGCACACGTGCATGCGCATGCTTTCATGAAAATTCTTATTTATCATGCTGTAGATATTCATAGTGAATGAATATGTTCAAAATTTCAAAGGATTTTGTCAGAAAATAAAAAAGATATTTAGACTTTTAGTTTCAGCCAATCGGAGCGAAGCGCACGTGCATGCGCGTGAGATCTTGCTATTTTGACATGTCGTCATGTCTATACTACTATTATATCCTTATATTATGAGTTTCAAAGCATTTCATCAAAAACTTAAATGGCTACGGCTATATCTATCATATTGGTCATTTCACGCGTTACACGTGTGCGCACTTGCACGCACGTGCGCGCAAAATGACCTTCGTTCCGCACATCTACATAACATACCTAGTGACCCTAAAAAGGTTTCACCTAGATCGGAGGAGTAGTTTACGAGAACACTCGCGGACAAAAAAAGTACCGGAGAAGAAAATTCAGAAAAAAAAGTAAAAACAATATGTTCCCAAACTTCGTTTCGGGAACATAATAATAATAATAAGAAACAGAGTAAAAACAATATGTTCCCCAACTTCGTTTGGGGAACATAATTATGAGAGTTTTCGATTTTCACTTTTGGTGGGTATCGTCATATGAGCTTCAATAACTTATAAATTATTATTCAAAATCAAATGGGATTGTGGTTATATCTTTTTAAAAGATGATTTTGGAAGTAAGATAGGAATATTAAAAAAAAATGAAAGAAAAATTTAATTTATCTAAAAAGTTTACCCTGCGTTTCCTTTTCCTTTCAGAATATTTTCTTTCGCATAGATCTGATATTTTTAGCAAAAGAACATTCACAAAACGCATATGTTTACCAGTTGCCAGAATTGAAAATAAATAAATATGTATACAATTTGCGATTTGCTTATGCATTTTATCCAAAAAGAACGAATCTTGTAGTCTCACAGTGGTATATTTATACCAATAGAATGTTAGAAATATTTTGAACGAGAATGTTTGCATTAATATCTTTTCAGATTACTTTGTTTTCTGGCTGAAGTCTATACATACCTACTGTAGTTCTAACAATGATAAAGATCCAAAGCCAACAGTTCTGATAGTAGCAACCCACTGGGACAAAAGAAACAGACAGTTCCATGTAAGAATATTTTATGCAAAAAAAAAAACACCATTTAATAACACATTCCGAAGCTTAAGGAGAGGAGAAATACTGTTTTACCCTTGTGTGTCTGTCTTGCATAAGTCTATATGTCCGTATGTTTGTCCATTAAAAATTTTCATTATTTTTTCTCTGTTCTAGCACACTATTGAATTAGTGGTAATATTCATTTTTTTATCACATCCTTCGTTATCTTCCTCTTTATCAGTGCGTTTGTCCATGTCGATTTTTCATAACATTTATCTTAGCAACTACTTGTCAAACATTATTGACATTTTAATATACTTGTTGAAAAACATTCCATCTTTTGAAGTTCAAGTAGGAATCGCATAACTGGCAACAGCATTTTTTTCTTTCATTTTTGATGTCCAGGAAAAAGGTAAAGACCTTGACATGATCTTGCCTCTAATATAAAACAGTCATAAAACAAAGCGGTATTGGCAAAAAAAAATTCTGCATTTCATATCTGCTCTGTTCAAAATATTTTAAAAGCCTAGGATTTTTTAAATTCAATTAAAGTAAAGAAGTTTCTGTTGTTTTAAATATTTTATTTATTCTTTATATTAATTTTTTATTTCTTTATTAGATAATCAATCTGAGGGTATCTTAGCTTTAGCAAAAAAAAAAAAAAATGCCGACACGATTACGGTGAAAAAAGGAAATTAGTCAAAATTATCTAATATTGGCTAAATAAAAGGAAAAAGAAATCTCTACATTAAATCTAGGGAAGGGGGGTTAGATGAAAATAGTCTTTTTTATTCTTCACTTTTTATTACGGCTTCACAACGCCGCCTTTTTTTATCCCGTCGACATTCCCTCCTTCCGTCTGAAAAAAGCAACGGATCAAGTTCAGGTATTAGTATTTATATAAACTTACAATCAAATCTAACTTCTTTTTGTTAAGATTTATATTTCGGCCGGGGGGGGGGTCCATGCAGTTCTGAAGAAGTGTTGGGTACATGCGGTTAAAAAGACAAAAAAATGTTTATATGAAAAAAAAAAATTATCATATGAAAAAAATAGATTATTTCATATGAATGCATAATGCCACAGGTACTTGTAGACAGCCCCCGCCCACCCCACTCCACCAAAACACCCCAGCGCTCCATAAAAAAATACGCACTGCGCATTATAGAAGAGACTGTGATCCAATTATTTGGGAAGGTTTTTGAAAGAATTTTTACTTATTGTACATATGATGAATAAGTAAAATATAGTTTGCAAAAAATATTCAATTAGCCTCGGGGTTGAATGTCGGCGAGGTACGGTCCTGTACCTGTGTGAAATGCAATGGCGACGGAAAATCTTAAGAAAAATTTGCAGAAAGTAATATACTTGGAAATGTTTCGCTCCTTAGAACATTAGTGTGGACACTACATAGAAATCTGGATTTCTTCTCATGAAAACGGATTCTTTTTAAATTTGGATTTTTATGCTAAAGGTCTGTCAACTATTAGTGTAGCAGTTTTACATGTTATTTTTCACATTTAAATGTTTGATATAACATTTTTTTAATGATATTTTTAATGTAAAATGTCCATATTTTAAAGGCTGTGATGCATTATTTTAAACGTTTTAATTTATCATGAAACATTTTCAATTTTATTTTATTGTACAGTGAAAACTGTCTAATACGACACCTGAATAATCCGACATACTGTGAATTACGACGTAAAATTTCTTTACTATTTCCCTTGCTTTTAAAATGTGCATCCGACATCCTGTCTATTCGGACACAAAACTTGTCTCCCAGTGCATGTCGGATTAGACAGGTTTCACTGTATATCTTAATATGGTTGTGATATTCATATATTTAAAGAAGTATAATTGGAGATCACACTTGTAAGAGTACATGTAGGTTACATAACGTGTATAATAAGAAAAAGTTAAGTTTCAAGACTCGTAGGAAAACAAAATTAACTAGATGAGATCTCGTTGTGAGCAACGAGAGGTCTTCCGTCCGATTCAGGAAAAGAAACCCACGTAAAATCGAGCTGAAAAGAGATTCGTGTGGGACCGTGTGGGACCTGAGCGGTCAGTAGGTCCGTGCTTGGATTACCGAGTTTTACTGGGGATAAGATTGAATGCAATATATACAGATAATAATATGACACCTGCCTGGTGTCTTTAAATCAAATGACCTAAGTGCTTTGTACAATTATATATCTTCAGTTAATACCGGCACCTGCCTGGTGCCATATGACAATTGCCTCACTATACAACTGACTATATAATTCAACAGCCACCTGCGTGGTGCCTCTTGATTTAGCCTTTAACACCTGCCTGGTGTCTTACTGCTTACCAAGTTGCCTATATAACTCTAGCCAACTACAATATACTTACACAGTATATAACTTTGTAAGAGCTTCTCTGTCCTTATGAGAAAATTATAGCTAAGGTCACACAGCTATATGTTAACTAGTCATTGACTACGGCAACTTTGCACAATTCGATTTGAACGATGCACTAATTGGTTTCCGTACCAAAGTGAAGACACAAGCCACTTGGCTGTACTGCCCCCTTGTACCTCAACTTAATCAATGATCATAAGTTATCAGATATCATATTGATAAAATACAACAGACTGCCTTTCTTTTGGCAACACTGTTATTATTTTCTAACAGAACATCATTTATCAATATTACTTGTATAATTCTTTTGTCAATTGACCAATTAATTACAATATTTACATTGATTTTCTATTATAAAATAAACAAGTATTGGGAGGTAACTCCTTCAACCATTTCACTACTACGTGGGAGTCGATGTAGTTTTTTTTCATTTCATGTATCCTTATGTCAGAATCGTTTAATCAAACGCTCAGCTGCCTCCGTAAACCCCTACTCGCGAAATGGCGGAGTTGACAGAGAGAGCCGCCATCTTGGGCCCGCTTCAGATTTTCAAATATTAATATCTAGCGTTCAGATTAACCAATATTCAAACAACTTATATAGTAAGCATATATAGAAGGGTCTCTATTAATATTCCTAGAATCAATAATAAATAATGGAAAACAAAAATGTTAGAAAATAAATTATTTTCATTTCGCATCTCCTAACGACAGGAAGTATTGACGACGAACAAAAGGTCGCGTCCTGGATAGTATCTATCACGATCTATAATCCCTGAAAGTTTCACATTGATATCTTTTACCGTTCTTGAGATTAACTGCAGACAAAATTGCATTTAAAAAACAGAAAATTGTCCGTAACTTGGCACCAGAGAAATATTTCCAAAAAATCTCTCGGATAAAAATCTTCAGATAACAACACATTGTTCCAGCAAATTTCATGAAAATCCATCCAGTAGTCTTCGAAAATCGCGTGCACAAAATTAGATGGTCAGAAAAATAATAATAAGAAGAAACAATAGAATCGCTATAAGGTCTTCCGTGAAGACGGAAGACCTTAATAATAACTAGATGCGTTCTTGTTGCTAAGGCAACAAGCAGGTCTTCCGCCCGACTTTTCGTTAGAAATCTCAGCTCCTTCAGGCCATGAAATAAATTTCAGAATGTATCTTTATCGTTTACTTTCATTGACAGCAGTCTTTCAACATAGATCGTGATTATTACAGTTATTCCACAAAATATCTATAAATATAGCTTTTATAAAATTGAAAAAATCTTCCATACATTATAAAAAAGAAAGAAAAGTCATATACAACTGAAAAAAGACAGAAACAAAGAAAAAAAATTTGCAACGCCCCCAGCGGGATTCGAACCTCCGACAGTGAGACAAAGATTGGATCGGTCATATCTTTGCAACAAATGCACGCATGAAAATGTTGAAAACATATTTAGAGTTCTTAAAAGATATTCTATCAACCCTGTGATTTCCGAAGAAAAATATTGAAAAACAAAAAAGTTGAAAAATTAGACTTTTAGAATTCACTTCCGTTTGCGACCGGAAGTCAGAACGACGAAAAATGAAGGTCGATCAACACATTTACATTTGATGTTCTATCACGTCCGTAAGTTTCAGTTTTATATCTGTTACTGTTCTCGAGATTTTTTTGCGAGAAAATTCCATTTAAAAAATACAAATTTCCCCAAAAAACGCGAGCGGAAGTAAATTTCGAAAAAGTGAGGGACACCTTTGGAGATATTAACATGATGCATCATCCCTGAAAAAATCGTTCAAATTGAATCACGCACAGCGGAGATATGACCTGTACTATGAAAAGTGGAATAATAATAATAACTAGATGTGTTCTTGTTGCTGGGGCAACAAGCAGGTCTTCCGACCGACTTCTCTTTTGTAATCTATGCTGTGTCATCCCATGAAATAGATTTCATAATGTATTTTTTTGTTTACGTTCATTTACAGTAGCTTCTTAACACAGATCGTGATTGTTCCAGGTTTTTCACAAAATATTTCCAAACATAGCTTTTAAAAATCGGCAAAATCTTCCACACATGTTATAAAAGAGTGAAAAGTAATTTGCAACTGAAAAAAGACAAAAACAAAGAAAAAAATTGGGGAATGCCCCGAACGGGATTCGAACCCCCGACAGTGAGACAAAGTTTGGTTCGGTCATATCTTTGAAATAAACGCAGGCATGAAAAAAAAATTAAAACATATATAGATATCTTTGAAGACACTCTATAAACCCTGTAAATCCGAAAGAAAAATATTGAAAAACAAAAAAGTTGAAAAAATGGACTTTTTGAATTCACTTCCGTTTGCGACCGGAAGTAGGAACGACAAAAAATGAAGGACGTTCGGCACATCTACATGTGATGCTCTTTTATGTCCATGAGTTTCAATGTCATATTTTTAGCCGTTTTTGAGAAAAGTAGTGTACAAAAATCCATTTAAAAAATACAAATTTCCCCAAAAATCGCAAAAGGAGGAAAATTTTTAAAAAATGAAAAACACGTCTGGAGATATTATTCTGGTGCATCTTTCCTGTAAAAATCTTTGAAATCCGTACAGTCACAGCTGAGATATCGCCATAGAAATGAAAAAAAGAATAAT